GTCTCCGGTATACAAGTACCAGGGTAAGAAGTATAAAAGAGACAATTAGGAAGCAGAGATATTTGTTCTTCTGTGTCCGGCATCAATTCAACAGAAGCAGCAGCAGCCTGACCCGCAAATAAAGCCGGAGAAAATACAGACACGCCCGTCTGCACTGCTGATACTTCTGCTGCTGCTGCTGCTGCTGCTCCTGCTGCTGCTGCTGCTGCTGCTGGGGGTGGTGGTGGTGCTGCTGCTGGTGCTGGTGGTGGTGGTGGTGCTGATGAGGGGGGGGAAGATAGGAGAGAGACAGCCTCTGAATCATCATCGTTGTTCTGCTGCTGTTGCTGCTGCTGCTGTTGCTGCTGCTGTTGCTGCTGTTGCTGCTGCTGCTGCTGCTGCTCTTGGAATGAAATTTGTGGGTTGTGTGCTTCACTGAGGCTGTCTTCTGTTTCTTGTTCTGCTGTTGCTGCTTCTGCTTCTGCTGCTGCTGCTTCTGCTGCTGCTGCTGCTTCAGTTGCAGTTGCTGCTGTTGTTGCTGCTGCTGCTGCTGCAGTGCTGCTGAGGCTGCTGGCGGCGCTCGTGTTTCTGTATACTGTAGGCTTGATAGCAGCAACACTGAGGGTACAGAGATGCAGCAGCAGCAGCAGCAGCAGCACAGCAGCAGCAGAACCAAAAAGAAAAGACCTTAAGAGAGCGAAGCCTCTGCTTCTCCTTCCTGTTTGTCTCCTTTGCTGCTGCTGCTGCCGCCGCTGCTGCTGCTGCAGCTGCTGCTCTTCCCGCTGCAGCTGCTGCTGCCGCTGCTGCTGCTGCTGCAGCAGCAGCTGCTGCTGCTGCTGCTCCGGCTGCTGCTGCTGCTGCTGCAGCAGCAAAGAGAAGAACTTGCGGCTCAGGCGGCGGGCAACAAAGATAACCCCCCGCAGCAGCTGGAAACGACAGAGGCGGCGGCGGCCTGTATTTGTTTGTGAGAAGAGAGGAGCTGCTGCTGCTGCTTGTCTTTCTCCTGCTGCTGTTACTCCTGCTGCTGCTGCTGCTGCTGCTGTTGCTGTTGCTGCTGCTGCTGCCGACGGTGCCTCGGGCCTCACCCGCTGCAGAGATAGGGGGGCTCTTGGGGGGGTAGAAAGCTCATATTGATTTGTGTTTGTCATTTGCATTATATTTTATTTTATTTATTTTTTATATTCAAAAACTTTTTTATATTTTTATAGAAAAGAGATAACTCAACAGACAGCAGAAAGGTATCGATGCTGCTGCTCCTTGCTGCTGCTGCTGCTGCTGCTGCTGCTGCTGCTGCTGTCTCTTACGGCTTCTCTTTTGCTGCAGAGAATTTATGTTTAATACAATTCAAACACACACAAATTTATCTTCTTTATACACACACTAAAAGGTAATCTGCTGCTGCTGCTGCTGCTGTTGCTGCTGCTGCTGCTGCTGCTGCAGCAGCAGCAGCAGCACGTGGCAATGATGCAGCAGCTGACGACGGCTCGGTCGATGCCGCTGCTGAGGCCTCTGTGTGTGTTTGTTATTTATTTTTTTGTATTTTTTTGTTTTAAATTTATAAATATATTTAATTTAATTTCTTTTATTAATTTTTTAAATTAAAAAAGAATTTATTTTATATTTTCAGCACCAGCTGCAGGCAGCTCACAACAAATCGAGCCGCCGCCGACGCTGCGGTGGGTTACGGCTGCGCCAGGGGGAAACCAGCACACTTTGGGTGTCGTTTTGTTAATTTTTTTTGATTAATTAATTAAATTAAATAAAAATATTAATTTATTTCAGAAAAATTGAGAAAAAAAAGCACAAATCGCTGCTCTTTCCGCACCGAAAAAGTAAACACACTGACCGCCTGACCGCCTCTTGGGGTGTATGTGCAGCTGCTGAGGTGTATAGCCACCTTTCATATTTTGGGGTGTATATACACCTCAATAGATGCACATAAACCTCACTAGGTGTACATACACCCCACGAGGTGAACGCCCGGTTCATACGGTGTACGTTGAGGTGTATGTACACCTCACGAGGTGAACATACACCTCACGAGATGCATATACACCGCAACTGTAGGTGTACATACACCTCATACCCCTCATGAGATATTCATAAACTCTGCACGAGGTCACCGTACACCCCGAGAAGTGTGCATACACCACACGGGGTGTATGTACACCTCACGAGACGCAGCATACACACACTCTGCCGCTTCTTCTGGCGATGCCTCACTCCAGTTAGAAAGGATGTCCTTTTAATACTTTAATATTATTTTATTATATAGTATAATATTAGCTCAAACTCTGCAGTGTATATGCAGCTGCACTGCTCTGCATGGTATACACCAGAAATGTTTTTCTTTGTATATATATATATATATATATATATATATATATATATATATATATTTGTTGCATCCGTCTGTTGTAGCATTGTATAGAATTGTTTTTATGTATTTCTGTTGCTGCTGATAGATACAAATAACCTTAAAATATATTTATTATAATTTGTGTATTCACTATTAAATATTTTTATTATTTTCATTTAGCTTCTCAAATCTTAATTCTTATCAATATTAAAAAACCATACATGCATGCATGCATGCATGCATGCATGCATGCAAGCTCCTGTATATGTATAGATGCAAAATAAATAAGTTTAGAGTCA